CAAACTTGACATAAAAGAACACTGTTGGGTAAAAAAGACCAATAATCTACAGTTTTCACCAAAATTATGCATATTTTCAATATCATATTTGGTTTCCATGACTACAATATGGTGAACACGAATAGTCCGAAATGAGCAAGCAGACAAATGTGGTTAAATTTTATAGTGATGTTATTGTTTCCATGAGCAGAAGCAAATATTTTATCAAAGCTAAATCCATAAAATATAAAAATGAAATATGTAAAAAATCATATTAACAATGGAAAATATTAAAAATTAGCAATCTGCATTTTAAAGCCTGTTCTTTACAGTTATCTAAAAAGTAAAAATACATTAAATGAAAATGGGCTGAATATATGGACAATAGTAAGTCCTGTCTTTACTTCCAACCTGTCAATTTTAGCAGCAGGTAGATACAGCAAAACAAAACAAAAATGCCATAAACAACTCAAACTATTAACAACACTGTACTGTACTTGGATTGATGAACAAACACCACATGTTATACCAGTCCTTGAATATGGACGAGAACACAACTATTAATCTCTTATATTTTAATGAAGGTGATGAAAGATTTAACACACAAATTACAACTGGCAATATACATCAAATATAAGAAACTGTCCATACATTTATTTAAATAATATGTTTTGAAATTAAAAGAATATCAGTGTGCTTCTTGCAGATTTTCTGGCTTACGATGCAAAGTAAAATAAATAAAATTCAACTTCAAAAATCCTTAACATATCTTAATACTTTTAAGAAAATTTAAATTCTATGTTTAAAAGAAAAAATAACTAAAACAACACCAACATTAAGATTGTGAATGGTGTTGGTTGTTTTTATAGTTACATAAGGGGTTAACAATTTTTTTTTTTTTTTTTGCTGTTACTGTACCTAGGGAATCAATTTCTTTCCAATTCTAACCTTGTGGGATAATCCTTAAGGAATACCACTGGAAAATAAAAAGCTAGGATAAGAAATGGGACTAGCTCAACACGGGTACTGAACCATGTAAGTTAATTCTGCCATTTGATTAGCTTTCTTGGCGCGACATCTGCGTATATCATGTAGGTAGACTCCCATGATCCGACCAGTTTCCGGTTTGCCTACCGTGTATTGATTGAGTATGAAGGCTGTAGGGAAAAACATCAAGATCGGGTGTCACCAACAACAACAACAAGTTTATAGTAATCAAATAATTGTATGCAACACATATTGAAATTGTCTTTTTTTTTTAAATTTAAAGTTTGCTTTGTTCAGTACTAGTAAGAGATTGACCACGCAGAAGACCTAGTATGTGATGCCCGAGTATGACTTACTGGATTTGCCAACAAAATCTTATAATTTGTGTTGATTTCCAACTGTACTCTGAAACAGTGGTATTAGCTTTTAGCCATGTCAGGCAAAGCCCCTAAACATTTCCCCACTTCACATTACCAACTACATAGCAGACTAATAAAACAGGCCGTAGGCTGGCCTGGAAAAAATGAGAATGCTGTGGAAATAAAATCCCAATATGTGCAACTAAATCTCTATTCCAATGAAAATTCAATGGACATTTTAGTATTTTAACCCACTTAGTGGAACATATTTGCGGACATTGGGGGGGGGGGGAGTGGGAGTGCATCAGCCTACATCCATGAATAAAGGGATTAAATGATTATGTACAGTATATCATAGAATTTTAACTAAGAAACTATGGTATTAATTTTTCTATAATTTTTTAAATGCCCATTGTTATCCTGCCAAATAATAGCACACTTGCATTTTACATTATCTTATATTTTTTTAACATTCTTTTTAGTAATGATTATTATTTAGTCAAAAACTGGTCAGCTGAGGACTAAGTGGGAATATGAAGAATAGTACTCAACGAAATTCTAAGCTGACGAATTCTCAGTAGATTTTGGCAAAGGTATCCTGTAATTGGCTTTTCACTGTTGGATGATGATTTGAAATAAAATAAAATAAATAAATAAATATGTGTACATAGTTTTTGGTGTATATGGAAGGGATATTATGCAATCACGGCAAGCATTTATTAATATTGCAAAATATTATCCAATGAGGTTGTTCCCTAGCCTGAACAGGCCCTGACACACTGACCGAAATCTGAAACCTTTATCACTTTTGAGCAATTCACTCCAGCACGCAGTGGCCATGTTTGCCATTTATAAGTAACTGTCACGTAATCCATATGGATTGAAATTAATGAAATGAAAGTGAGTTAACAGTAACATACTCGCTATATACTGTGCAATGTGTTATAACAGTAACATAAAATAAGGCATACCATAACAATTTTGACACATGTGCTAACCCACAACGTGCTAACTCCCAATCACAATTTCAGAGATCTGACAACCAGAAACAAGATTAAAAATGACTTTATATTATATACAAATAACTCAACTGACTCTACAAAACTGACATAAGGTCCTGACAATGTACCTCAGAATATAGCTTATAAACAACAACAAATAATTTATTAAAAACAACACAAGATTTATAGAAAGCACTTCTTTAGTGTTAAATATTAATTAATTACATGTGTGAGAAAGTAATAATAGAAGTATCAATCGAGCATACTTCCACTGCCAGTTCACCCAAAACACCTACTGTACAGTACAGTACACCCCAAAACACACTGCAGTCCCATCCACACACAGAGTGCAATGGCAGGTAGTCCAAAATCAATACTAATCGATGTAACAAATATGATTATTCATTTACACATCTATTAAATTATAAAAGTTAACATAAATAATATTTTCAAAGATTAAATAAACTTTAAATTTCTTATATTTGAATTAGTTGACTACTTTAAGCAGAAAAATTCTGCCTTCAACACACCTTCAACAGAACAATCAACTTCAGTCATACTTATCAATATATCCTCTTGACCATAAAATTTTTCCAACATTTCAACAAAATGCTATTTACAGAAACAAATATTACTGTACACTACAGTTAAATACCTAACATTAAAACTCAAAAATATTCTGAGCACATTGCCAATGTCATGAAGGGAACCAGTAATCTAATGGTAGTTTCATTAATTCTTTTGACCTCTTCGCCCGGGGCCTGCGGATGTCACGAAGGTAGACACCGATAAGTCGCATCGACTCAGACTTCTCTACATCATGCTGCTCATAAAAGAAGGCTGTAGGGAAAAATACCAAATAAGGACAGGTCATCAAAAGAATTAATCAATTTACATGCAGGTGTGCATAGGACTCTAGTCTGTGTACAAAGGCAAGTGTTTATGTATATATACTATATTACTACAAGAGTGTACAGTACAGTATAACCCAAGAGTATATAACACAGGTGTTAGTGAGACACGTACTGTAACACAGATGTGCACAGATGTATAACATAGGTG